GCACCGGCAATGCAAATGTCTTTTTATCCGGTAACAAGCATGCTCCCAAGGCTGCTCATTCGAGTTCGATCTCGATGATTCTGCTCCGACCTTATGATATTTGCGTATGCACGGATCGAGTGCTGGGTTCATGCATGGATGTGCATCATCAAGACATGCACAGGCAGCGTGCACTCTTTTGGACTCTGCTGTTGAAGTTGCGAGCGATTTCATCCTTGGAAAGTTCCCCATCGATGGCCGTGATCCCAAAAGCTAGGTTCTAGGTGCATGTATGCTTGCAATCAGCCGGACTTGCTCAAGAAGTCTTGAGTTTAAGCCCTACCAGGACCCACTTAGGCCTAGGTATGCCATACGTCAGTACTAGCTGCTAGCCCAACTGACCAGCTAGCATTCGCACATCCCAGCAATGCCTACGGATACGGCCACACTCTCAAAACTAAGAGCAACCCAACCGAAGCTGCTCAGGCTGGCAGAGACTTTGCCTTGGCCTTGGCAGCACCCTTGGGTTTGCTGGGCAAAATGTGCATTCGCACGTGCTTAGCACTGGATTTGAACTCCTCGTTGGCTGCCACCACAGCCTCACCCAAAATCCTCAAGTCCTCACCATCCACTCCCCGAGCGATCGCAGCCTGCAGTTCTAGTGAATTCCAAGCTCGGGTCATGTTTATTTGGGGATGTTTGGGCCTAGGACAGGTACATGGTGAGGGTTGCAACTTCGAGGCTCCAAGTGTTGTTTTATTTCGGAGTACTCGGGATGATTGGGAAGGGCTCGAACATAGATGTAGATTATGATTTCCGTGCAGCTTTGAGCCCACTATCTAGGTTTATTATGTCATACCGAAACAGGGGTCCGAGAATCTAGGGTTGTGGGCGGGTGGTATGTAATACCGGAATATGTGCCTATAGACAGCACATAGGGCCGTAGGGCTGGCCAAGCTTTTGGCAGCATCTAGCTTGGTTGTAAGCACTGGTGCACATCTGCGGTAGGCTGAAGCTTCATGGCTTGGGACTTTTGGTTTCGAGGCCGAGGTTGGGGTGCTTTGCTGTTGCTGTACATGTAGATCTTAAGCTTCATAGTTGATGGGTTTCGGGTTTAGTGTGTGCGGCAATATTGCTGTATATGTAGCTATATAGGGGTGTTTGGGGCTTCATGGCTTGTGGTTTCGGGTTTAGTGCTTGGGGCTCTTTAAGATCTAGTGAGTTTCAGGCTTAGTGCTTGGAGGTTGTTTTTGCTCTGTGTAAGAGTATTGTTTCAAGTTTCGGGTGTAGTGTTTGGGTGCTAAGCTTGAGGGTTTAGTGGTTCAGGTTTGGTGTTGCAGGGCTCGAGGAGCGGGTGTCGGGTTTAGCGCTTCGGGGTCTAGGGCTTAATGCTGAAACTCCCAGGCCAACCTCCAGCTTCTGGCGCTCCTGGGAGATGGTCGTGCTGGTGCGGCCCATACTCTGGGTCAGGGCTGCTGCCAGGCTGGGGTCGCATCCTGCCTGTGACAGCTTGTGGCCGAAACCGGAAATCTCGAGCAGATTCGCGTTGGCCTGCACGATAGCCTCGGCAGATATCTAGATAGTTTGCTAAACGTTTCGTTACATATATGTTCAGTTAACTGCAACCGACCCTTTGAATACAATCCTCAGCCGAGCTACAGCTTTTGCAATCTGAATCGGGGTTTTGGCTGCTTTGGCCGGCGGGGGCGGGAGCTGGCCGTTCTCGTCCCCCTTTTTTTTGCCCTTGCCTTTGCCCCTGCCTTTGCCCTTGGGGGCATTGAAACCGGCACCAGCATCTGCCCCGGGGACATTCTGGGCATTCACGGCCGACCCAAAGCCGCCCACGCCTCCGTCAGGTCCGGCGCCGCTCTGGCGCATGTTGAAGCTGCGCTTGGTGGAGTGCTCCTCCAGGTCGATTCCGGTATCCCAGCATTTGAAGAGCTTCATCTCCTGATGTTGTTAGGAATATTCATATTAGTATATGAAAAATCAGATCTAGATGATTCTTTTCGAACTGGGTTCGATCGAATATACTTAGTCTTCTGAAGTCCTCGTCAAAAGGAAAGTCCGGGTGCCAGCGCCACTCATCTTGCTTTTCCTGTCAAGGGAATGGGTGGTTTAACCGAATTCGGGGTTTAGTGTTTAGGGTGTTCAGTACTAGTACGAACAACATCAGCGAATACTGCAGGTGATCACTGGGTCCTTGCTCTCGATCAGCTTGTTCACTCTTGTCTCGTTGCCCGCGTACTTAGTCATGAGCTCCTGATTTCCATGGTAGACAGCGAGATCATGAAACAGCTAGAATTTCCAGATCCCCTGTGGAAGCAGCATGAAGCTGGAGTCCTCGCGCGACAGCCATTTGCAGGACTCCGTCTGCTTCGACAAATTCTTGGACTGCCACTCGGCGTAGACCTCGGTCTCGCCCCAGTCCTCGCCGTGGTTTTTCCAATCATCGAAGAGGGCCTTGAGCTTCGTTTTGTCAGCCCGGCCTTAGATCACTAGAGTGCGTAGTGGCACATCTGCACGAGGGTGAACCGGATATTTGAATATAAGTACTGCAGTGAAGTAGCCATTGGGGAGCAAGCACTTCTGGTAGGCCTCGACCACTGCGAGGGGGCACTGCGCACCTTAAACCCGTGATGGATTTTTCTCGGAGTTCTGGGTTTAAGGGGTTTAAGTTTATAGGGCTTCGGGGTTTAGGGTCTGGGTTTAAATGCAGATAAAGCACTAGTGATGCTGCGATCGAAGCGGCCCCTCTGAGCCTTCTTCCTCAGCCTCTCCTGCAGCACAACCCAGGAAGCCCAGCAACCCCTGAAAAACCTTTGACACATAGCCCAGGCCCCAGACTCTGGAAGTGAAAACCGAAAATGATCAGGCCGAAGAACTAGGACCAGGACTCAAACCCAAAGCCATATTATATTGATTGTAAGCTGACCCTAAACCCCCAAACCTAGATTCCCAGATCCTTTACCCCTTAAACACCGCTATAATCAGACCACACTGAAGCCTTGGAATTCGTTCTGCCCGATAGCTCAAGAAGCCCTATCCAAGTCTGAAAACCCAAAGCCCACACAGAGCCTGAGATATCCCCAAGGTTGTCGAGCCCTGCTGGTTCCGGATATCAATCATTGCTCGGGGCTTGGAGAGTCATACGGAACTGAACCCCAACCTGAATCTGATGCCCGGAATACCTACAACCGCAGGTCCTACCACACATGGCCTGCACCCCAACTGTTTTAATTTGTTGCATTAATGGTTCATAACAGCTAGCCAGTACTCTAGTTACCAGTTACTATAACATGGGTATATACAAACACACTATTATGTGAATAACATATCTATATGTGGGTGTGTGTACACATGCATATACATATATTATATATATATATGTATATAGCACACACACACACACACATTATTATTTTTTACTTATTATTGTTATTATTATTGTTATATATATATATATATATGCGTGTGTATATGTGTGTACATATATATGTATATTGTACAGGACTGCAGTTTCCCGTGGGTCCTGTTCTGCAAGTTCCGCCTCTGATTCGCTCTCGGTCGGCAGTGGGCTTGCCTGCATGCTCTCCGGGGTTGGGGCTGGCGTCGATGCCTGGTGAGCCTCGGCACCCTGCATAGCTGCATCAGATAGTGCTTTGGCAATTTCCTTTGATGGCATTGTTTCGCGCTTCACCGGGATGAACGAGGGCGGGGGCATGCGGTCGGTGCTTGATGCAGGCGTCGCTGTCACTGTAGCTGGTGCATCTACATCTGTAGGCAGTGCCTTAAGAAGTGCCTCGAAATCAAGGGTACTTGGCCTCAACAACATCTGCTGAACTGCCCCGACCCCCACGGTTGGCACATCGCTTGCACTGCTTGCTGGCTGCTGCACGATCTTCAAAAGCGACCTGAGCTTGCCTTCCAGCTGGGTTGCAGTTAAGGTCCCCGTGCTTTGGTCGGATGACTCTGCTGGCTTTGGGGCTTCCTGCTGCAGGGCTTGGTCGGATGACTCTGCCGGCTTTGGGGTTTCCTGCTGCGGGGCTTGGTCGGATGATGCTGGCTTTGTTGTTTCCTGCTGCGGGACTGGGTCGGATGACTCTGCTGGCTTTGGGGTTTCCTGCTGCTGGGCTTGGTTGGATGACTCCGCTGGCTTCGGTTCCATAGCTTGGTCGGATGGCATCGAGGCTTCCAGTGCTGTATTGCTGTCGTCGAAGTCTAGCTGCATGCTCAGCTTCTCAAGATCAACCGTCAGACCAGTCTGCAAATCAGCATCCTCTAGGCTTTCCATGGAGCCACTGCCGCCTTCCACCAAAAGCTGGCGAACCTCGTTCACTCTCGGGTCCATATTAATGTAGGGTGCGTTGAGGAAATAGGAGCATATATATACATATATAGTTTTTTTACATACACACACACGTCCATGCGCAAAGGTGAGCACATATGTGCTACTATATATATATATATATATATATATATATATATATATATATATATATATATATATATACAGAACATGCATTCGATGACTCAACCCATTCGTCTATGAATCGATATATTCATACATGCACATGGTGTAATAACATCTATATACACACACACACCTGTGCATACATAAATATAAATATATGTACTTATGTGATATGTACACATTATATATATATATATATACAGTTGATTACAGTGTATACATACGAAAACAGCCCGAGTTAACCGGTACACCATTTAGTGGCATACTGTGTGTATCTATATATATATATATATATGTATATATATATATATATATATATATATATATTCAAGGAATATGATGAAAGACAAGGGAATCAAGCTTCGACCCCGAATCACATGGACGAGTAACGTACCTCACATCAGCAGGCGTCTGCTGATTCTCCAGGCTGTCGTCGGTTCCAAGCTTCCGCATAGCAGGAGTACCTGATTATGAGTAAGTACTTGGGCAGGACACCCGGGACTTTGACCCAAATTATTGCAAATTAAATATGTTGCATGTAGGGCACCCTCGAACTCCAAAGTCTTCTTCTCCGGCGTTTCCCCAACCTGTGCTCCCGCCCCGGTCTTCATGGGGGTCGCATGGCCGGGGCTTCCTTCCAGCTGCTTCAAGCTCTTGGGCAGCGGGGTGCTCGTGCTCGGGGTCTTCTCTGCACTCGGCAAAGGAGTTGTCTTCGCACGCGTACGTTTTGTCACAGCAGCCTGCGGAGTAGCGGCTGGACCGATATCTTTCCCCTCGTGTAGCTGCTTCGCCTTTGGCTTAGCCGGGGTCCTCGATGCTGCCGTTGATGTGCTAGCGCCGGAATCGCTTCCCGGGTCATTGCACAAACCGACAGAAGCAGCAGCCTTCAAGGCCGCACGTCTTTTCGCTGCAGCCTGCACAGCAGTCTGTGCCACCTGCCCGGTTTACACACAAGCACATTATCTCTCTACTGATTTTGGGTTTTCGGGTGTGATACAGAAAGACAGAGAACGGATCGGTATAAATATCTAATACATGTATATTACTATATACTTATGTATATATACATATAAAATATGTACCTAACATAATAATATAAACATAATAATACACACACAACATACACTGTGTATACATACGTACAATATGTACATATATATATATATATATATAAGTACATATACAGATATACTTATGTGTATATATAATATACATGCATATATACATACATACATACATATATATGTATATATTGTAATATGTATACACATACATCACATATACGACTATAAGAACACACACACAGAGAAACACATCATACTTTCACATATACGTATGCAGCATGCACACATTCACACACCTGCACATACACGTAGACATACTACAGTATACGCACCCTTTAATTTACAGGTCCCGAAACCTAGATCCCCCTTCCAAAGTCTGTTCCGAGGCACCTTCAGCAGAGCTGCCGCATCGTCTCGGGGATCCGCCATCGAGGCAGCAACTCCAAGACTAAGCACACACTAGTAGGGTCGCTAAAATTGCCTCGTAAATGGAGTCGTTGGGAGCATTGGAGACCATTCAGTGCAGGGATTCTGCGGCACTCTGGGGGAATCTGGGCCTGTGGCCTGAATTAGGACCCCCAGAATCACCGAAATCCAACGTAAATCACAGAAACCAGGGGCCCGAAGCACAAGGATTCCACGCTTTTCCACGCTTTTCCACGCTTCTCCATGGAGCCGGGTTTAACGTAAGAGCCTTGGCCGACTTAAGGCCAACCGTGGATTCCACGCTTTTCCACGCTCCCCGGTGGCTAATATTCCAGGAGCACCTAGCCCCCGAAGGCCCAAAACCCTAGTCCCAAGTCGCTCAAAACCAGCCCTGGCACAGTAAAAACCACTAGAACAAGGCCATGTATACATTAGGGAAAGGGATTCAAAGGCCTGAAACGACCCTCGGCTTCCTCCTGCTTCAGGAAGGCCACGATTTCATCAAGCTTAGCCCACTCATAGATGCTGTTGTCCTGCGGGCCGAGGGTCATATGATAATATATATACATATATATAGATAGCTAGTGTACATATATATATATATATATGTGTGTGTGTGTACTACCACTACTACTACTCCTACTCCTACTCCTATTTCTTCTGCTTCTGCTACTACTGCTACTGCTACTACTACTACTACTACTACTACTACTACTACTACTACTACTACTACGACTACGACTACGACTACGACTACGACTACGACTACTACTACTACTACCACCACCACCACTACTACCACCAGCACTACCATGACCGCACCACGAACAACAACGACTACTAGTACTACTACTACTACTACTACTACTACTACTACTACTACTACTACTACTACTACTACTACTACTACTACTCCTGCTGCTGCTGCTGCTGCTGCTGCTGCTGCTGCTGCTGCTGCTGCTGCTGCTGCTGCTGGTGCTACTACTACTACTACTCCTCCTCCTCCTCCTGCTGCTGCTGCTGCTGCTACTTTACTAGTCTACTACTCGAATGGCTCCACAAATCTAGGAGTGTAGGCCCCAGGAATCGAAGAGCGTAAGCAACCTGCCCCCAAAGGCGCGCGCATCATGAGCATCAGCCGGCTTTGGGGCCCCCAGGAATCGAAGAGCGTAAGCAACCTGCCCCCCAAGGCGCGCGCACCATGAGCATCAGCCGGCTTTGGGGCCTGCGAAAATGGGCACGGTCACCCGGGAACTTTGAGGTGTGGTCGCACTGACAAGTAAGCTGGACAGTACTCCCTCCCCGTCCGCCCCGTCCCAGCCCACCTCACCCCCACAACAGTGCCCCAAAGCACGCATGTACGGTAGGCCTCCCGTTCTCGGCAGCCGCACACCTGCAGATTCCCGCAGGAGACACCCATTGCTCCTCCCCAGTGGGCGCATTAGCGCATGGCCCCACTGTCATGTGCCGGCACTGGCACGTTGGCCTCAAAGAGGAGCATTTGAGTGTAACGCGAACCACCTGCCCCACACCCGGCCAACGGTGTGGAGGGAGCCGTATCGATGTGCCTGCTCCCCCTCGGTAGGGCTCACCCCCAAATCGGAGCAGCACATACTACTACAACTACGACTACTACTAGTACTACTACTACTAGTACTAGTACTAGTACTACCACTATTACTAGTACTACTGCTGCTGCTGCTGATACTACTACTACTACTACTACTACTACTACTACTGCTACTACTACTACTACTACTACTACTACTACTACTAGCTACTGCTACTGCTACTGCTACTACTACTACTACTACTACTACTACTACTACTACAAATACTACCCGGACAGGCCTCGATCACCATGGTCCGTCCCCGCATAGTTGTAGCATCGAGCCCTTGGGCAGGGGTGGAACAACTCGCAGTTGTGGCCTCGGCCAGTTCAGGCTTCATAATATTGGGGTTTAAGGAGTTTCGGGTTATAGGCTTCGGGTTTCATCGCGAATGAAGTGTTTTGTTCGCTTTGGCTAGCTGACTATCACCTAAAATCTCGGGTTTGGGGTCGCACACCTATAAGCCAAGTTTCGGGATCCTGGATCAGTTTTGCCACAAATTTTCCGAAGGCATAAGGGTAGGCACCACTGGATTTCAACATGCGTGAGCCGGTCCTTAGCTCAGCCTAGTACCCAAAGTAGTGTTCACAGGGCTTCGTTGGGGTTGCATAAGCTCAGTGTGATTTGTCAGCCCCACTAACATCCCAAACCCGACTTCAAACAATTGATTAAGGATTCAGGCTTTAGGGGTTTAGGGTGTGGGCTAAATAACGAAGATCGGATAAGTAATGTTAGCCAGGTGTCACTTTAGTTTTACCAGTCTTCTTGTCGACCTTTCTGGTAACCATATCTTTCTTGTTCTTCTGGAATGCCTTCCTCTGGGCCTTGGTGAGCTTGCCATAGACCTTGACAATGCCAGGCCTTAGAGTAGCATCTTCCCACGTCTAAACCAAACCTGAGGACGGCCGAAGTATTAGTTGCATGTTCAACAGTTCAACTAGTTCTATAGGATCAATATCAGCTCACTCCACCATACAACGTACTAGGCTTGGGGCTAGAAGGGTGCATTAGACCAGGGTTTTGCGATGATCTAGAAGCTGGCAAGGCATAGCGGATTTTGGCAAATATTGTGGCTTCCGGGACCTGCTGATCGGCGCAAACACCAACACGAAGTGCTGGAAACAATTCTTCTACTGCGGCTTACAAAAGGCCCCTATTTGCTGCAGGCAGCATCACATGGATTGGGCCTCCGTCCATGTACCAGCTGGGACAAGCAACAGGAGTTTGAGATGAAACCCAAGACCCAAGATGGTCGCGGCTATGGAGCGTGCCACCGTATACTCAAATCGGCACTTGCCAGGGGTAAGGGTTTGGTTTTAGGAATATCGGGCTCTAGGGGTGCATAGTGAAAACATGTATATACCTAGATCAGAACTCAACCATCCAAACCCGAGCACATCAGGCATCAGAACTCGAGACCAACAGCCGTACTCAAAATATAATTCGTTCACTGTAGAGCCACCCTTCTCGATAATTCGAGGCACCATGTCCCAAAGAGCTGCGTCGGCTTCGGGCAGAAGTGGCCGAAGTACCCCATCCAACTGAGTGAATTTTTTTAAGGGTTAGGCCAGGTGGTTAGGATTCAACCAGCAGTGTCTAGTGTGGATGTCGATCATTGTGTACTTATAGCTAGCGAGGGACAAGGGACAGGGGACGACGGTCTTATTAGGTAGAAAGGATATTGGGTCTTATAGGTTCTAGGCCTGTCTAAACCCGATCTGAATATCAGTTGTATATAATCCTATATATATATATATATACACATATATAAACATTTGGCTTATTTAAGCTTTAGGCCCCAGTCGACTGCAGCCACTCCACCTAACCCCTCAACTATCTATAAGACCTCTTCCTGGAACAGGGTCGTACATGAAGCCTGTACACGGATGTAGGATCAACCGTACATCCCCGAATCGAATAATCATAATTAATTATGTCGGGGCACAACTTGTGAAAGTAACTCTGAAGAGCTCCCCCGAGGCTGCATGCGTGCGTCATCGCCGGAAACGTGCGGAGGAGCGATGAGGCTGGCTGCTCCACCTCTGGCGCTTAGGCCTATAGGGCTTAATGAGCGTAATTCTTATATTCATACAGATATATGCACATGCGTATACAAAAGCACCAGTAAGAAGGCTAGGCACCGCCCAGTAGATATTGAGGGCTGTGCAAACCAGGGCCAGTATTGCGAAACGGGCCACCAGCATATTAGCTGACAGGGTGCGATTGCTTCCATTTCCCTCAATCACTGATCGTCGACCCGTGGACGCAGAGCTGATCCATACCCAACTTAGATGCATGTCTTCTGATTTGTTGGTTTCGGTTTATTTAAGGACTTATATCAACCTAGATATGCCACCAAAACACCTTGAGCAGGGGACCCCAGCCCAAACCAGTCCACCACTTTCAACCCGACAGCAATCTCTGAGAGCCGTAGTGAACCCAGCAGTGGATAACAAGTCGTTAGACTCCCCGCGGACCATGATCTCGTAGTTCTGGGCTCGGAGTCCACCGTCTCCTTAGCTTTAATATTTATTACATTTTGTTAGCTAGTCATATACTCTTGGTTACACCGTAGGGGTGCGACTTTACTATTCGGGGCCCGTGGTGCTCATGCAACCAAGAGTCGGCATGCTCGTGTTAGCAGGCCTTGACCGGAGAAGAGCTCCAAGATCTGGATGTCCTTATTAACTAAAGTATATACGTAGCAGCATATAAGTAACAATTCTACTACATGAAATTCTCATGTAGACAATCAAGGAGCACGCTTCCAGAACAAAGGGTCATCGGAGGACCTCGTCATGTTCACCTGGACCAAGTAGTCCATCAAGTGAATCCTTGGTTTCATAAGACCCTGACCCCCAAGACTTAATAACCCTCGTGGCGCATATAATGTGTATGCACTGACCCAGCCGAGCTTCACTATCACGGGAACTCCAATTGAAACCATGAGTGCCGCTGTTTTTGCAGACACAAAGAATGGTCTAGCCATGGCTGCTGAGGCACAAAATAGAATAACACTAAAGCCCCTCTAGACAAAATTATGACACTAAAGCCACTAAACACTAAAGCCACTAAACACTAGTGGATATCGTAAACCCTATACTGCAGTAGTCGACGAGTCCACAGGGTGCTGCTCACAAGCTTGATCAGAGTTACCTGAACTGGTATTGCATGAGCAGGCAGCTGAAAAGTTTAAATGAACAGCCCTAAATCAGTGCCCGACGTACAGAGACAGACCAAAATCAGCGACACGTCGCATCATCTGTCCTGATCAAGCTTCCCTGTCTAGGAAAACTGAAGGCATATCCTAAACTAGTACCGGTTGTCCTGCGAGGACACTCAACTCGATCTCGCTGCGAAGCTCAGGCATCCGGTTCCTGAGAGTTTACAAGTTGGGGTCCTTGGGCTTCAGATTAAACTATTTTACGACGGTTTTGGGGTGTAGGGTCTTTGTGAGGGCTTGGTTGCAGAATTAATACTGGGATACATATTTAAACATATATTACAGAACCACCGTAACTATTCGGAGGTTATTTCACCTCACGGGCTTCTATAAGGGGTTTGGGCTTGGGTTTGGGCTTTCTATACGCATGACATAGCAAAGTTGATGTGTAGGCTTACCGAAGTCTTCTTGATGATGGGTTGGCCGGGTACCTACGAGTTTCCTGTGTCTTGGGAGTTCGGGGTGTGGGGCTCGGGGTTTCAATCTTTAAAAGGCGACTGCACCGGAGCTTTGGCCTTGGGTTTGTACTTGAAGTCTTGGTCCTAGCTAGGAGGCTTGCTGTCCATTCAATAGGTTGAAGGCCTGGTTGGCTAATTTCGGGAAATGATCCAAGATGTTTCATATGACTGTAGCTGGGAAGACTAATATAGTTCGTGGATAACTAGAGACACCGATGCTGAAACCTGTCGTCGGCCTCAAATATTTGAAGCCCCAAGAATCTTCAGACACACAGGCGAACAGGCGCACACACACACATGTATGGTGGTGTCTGCACTTGTATGTAGATACACGCATGTGTATGTGTGTTTGGATGTACGAAAATACAATATATACAAATATACATACATGTATTAAATGTTAGGTGATGACGAACTATCATAAGCTGGGTGTCAGAAATTTGAGATCAAGATACTGGCCGATGCATGCGTGCGGAGATCGCCATCTGAAATGACCTAATAATTGAGATTGTGCGGCGATGTTCATGGCATGCACATGATCCTCATGCATGGGCGTGTAGGTGTAGTCCTATACTACGCATGAAGATGTGTCGTACACGTATTGTAGCGAGAAACCGGGACCCAGCCAGCCACAATCATGGCGAGCTTGTAAGCATTGTGCCATCCCTGATGCTTGCGCTGGGCGATCGTCGACCCGAACTTCTTGTTGATCTTCACGGCACCACCATGCGTCGTCAAGGTTTTGAGAACATAGATCTGGTTTTCAGCCCACCTGAAGCATTGGGCATACCCCTACACATGCATTAACCTATATAATAACGGACTACCAAACTAACCCCTCTACATCCCAGATTCAAGTTTATAACTCCCGATGGTCTGAATCCCTAATATAAAATTTAAACTCCTGGGGCCTGGGGTTACTAAGAGTCCAAAATCGATCACTACGTACTAGCCACTATCCCCGAACATTAAAGCCCAAAGCACCCTGAAACCAAATCCTTCAACATCCCTAGGCGAAGCAAGGTACAGAATCTGAATCCCAGCGATGTTTTCCACATCCGTGGGGTTGGGGGCGACGTTCGGCTGGATCGTAAAGGACTTTGTGTTTGGTACGTAACCCTCTGGCACAGGGATGTCAGCCTGCCGCAGCTCCACTTCCTGCATTCAAGGGGCATGTGAGATGGTTTCGAGGTTGCCCTAAATCATATATATACTGTCCTCGACTAGTACTGGCCTTGGTCTTCCATAGCAATGCATGTGCAGGCTCCGCTGCGGCTTCGGTCTCCGGGGTCGATTTGGCTTTCGCTTTAGCTGATGCTGGGGCGGCTGTTGCTTTAGCTTTCGGTTTAGCTGCTGCTGGCTGCTCTTCCTGAGCGGGTTCTGCTGCCTGCTCCGCCTCGGCCTTCTCAGCCTGCTTCTTTCCCCGGCCATAGCGTCCTCGTCCTCTCCCCCTGCCCTTTGCCGGCTTGGCTTCCTGCTCCTGCTGCTTGCTCAGAAGTTTGGCTGCCGCTTCGATCCTCGCTGCCTCTCTCACCTGTGACACTAGAAGGGATTAAATGTGTCGACTCTGCACACCGTCGAAATCTTGTTCGAATCATGTGGCACCTGCTTCTGAGCCTGGACTATGTCCAGCGGCTCCTTGAGATTCTCTTCGATTTGTGACTTGATGCCAGGCAACAAATCATTTGGCAGCTCCGGGGAGACAGCTTGGATCGGAGGCCGCAAGGCCTGCAGAAATGTTCATTATGTAGGGTTCGATCAGAGTATATTCGACCTTCACGATCATGATGTACTAAATGCATACTAACTATTGAACACTGGCCTTGTCCGCCTGCCTGTTGTTCTGGCTTGTCACTGTCTTCAGAGGGCTCTCCAACATTTGCAGCTGTGTCTCGAGCTCTGAAGGGTCGAACACCTGAGCGAGGCACGTTTTGGAGGAATACAGGATCTAGATGTTTCGATAATATGTTACCAGCAAGCGTCTGTCGCTTCCGGCTCACATCTTGCAGTTGTCGGGGTCGGCTCCTTCATAAGAGCGAGGGTTCAGTCTAATGATCGAGATATAAGAAATTCGGTTAGATGGGTAGCTTGGGTCCTCGGCGGGCTCTCCAACCAAATCGACTTCCATCTCGCTCTCGGAAGCTGGCAATGAACTCCCGGGGGAACTCGGGTCCTGCAACAACACCATTATCTTCGAGAGCTGCTGCCTTAACCATACACGAAGCCCCAAGCCTCCAACAGAAGTACCCTAATGATCATCGTCCTGCATCATTGCCTCGTTCAGGTTCGCCTCGATGACTTTGTCGATATCAGCGCCTGATTGGGGTGCAGGGCTGGCTTCTTTAATCCCTCTACAGCTAACGACTAACCCGAGGCCCTACGGTAAACCCGTCAGCTTGGACCGGCCCGAGCGAGGTGGTGCTAGCTTGTAGATGCTGGCTCCAAAGCTTAAGACCAACATATACATATTCAACCCCATAATCCGAAACCCGTATATATAGCCCACGACCTCATCCAAACCCAAGAATCATAAACCCTAAAGAAAACACTGCCCTACACTCTGAACCGAGGCCCTGAAATCTCCCTGATAGATCTAGTACTAGTACTTAATTTATAATATATATTTATATATATATATATATATATATATATAATATACTCATATAGATAGGAAGTGATTATTACTTTAACATGTACATGTGTAATATATAATGTATTATACTATGCAATATCTATATATAAATAAAAATATATATATATATATATATACATAGGATCTAGAGTTCTAAGCTTGGAACCGAGGGACTTATTAGATACTGGCTCCAAAGACCCGGAAGACTTGTCCTAGCCCTAAACCCGAATTGCCGAAACCATGCAAAGCCCAGGACCCTTCCGAAACACCAGCCTTCGACCTATATCTTAATGAAAACCCTGTACATCCCTAAAACCCGATCCCTACTAAGGCTGTAATTAAATTTACTAATCCCCGGCTGCCCTAAAAGGCTCAAGACCCAAGCAGGCCTTGGTCGGATCCCTCCAAACAGGCCCTCACGATCTCCTTAAGCATGTTCACCTGGGGTCGCCTCAGCGCGTAGTTATATTATGCTTCTAGCTTCGAAGTCGCTGTCATTTAAGTATAAGTGCAGTGTGGCCACCGGCTACCAGTCGAGCGTCTGGTCAAAAGAAGTGCGTGGATCGCCATCGCACGCATCGTCCCGGCCTCCACAGCAGCCCAATCCTGCGAGATTAGCTAGTATCACCGAGTACGAGTACGTGTGTATTTATTTGCACACTTTACAAGCACAGCTCCTTCAGCACCTTACGCTTTGTTCCTGAAGGGAAAAGTGCGTATCGTTGGCACAATATCATCAGCACAGCCTGCGGCACACAATGCGTACTAGCTCCAGATATATCATGCATGCAGTCTCGGATCTGGTTGCCTTGTGAACACGGAACTTCGGCACCCGGGCTTGGCAAGTGGCAATGTATCCAGCGAGGAAGGTATACTGGCGTTCTACCTGATGTGAAGCGATCGGAGCAAAGTTTAAACTTCAAGCACTAGTACCTAGCTAGTAGTAGGACTACATGTACATGCAGCTAATTGTACTATACACACGAACCAAGAGGCCATATTGACACTGTCCGGACCTTCGGTCGGAACCTTGAAGAGGCTCTTGGCCTCAGCTAAACCACAGGTTTCGTGACGGCTGTGTTTTCGCAAAACGGTTTTATTTTCATAACAAGCCACTTTCGAAGAGCGAACCTCCGGCAACCTAGCCGGATCCTCCGTCATCCAGGTGTTGAGGTAGTCCTCGTATATTATAACAACCGACCACGACATGAATGTATTCAGAGTTGAGATCTAGATGCCGGCAAGACACCTCTAGCAAAAATTTGTGCTCGATGTCAGCCTGCGTCGTCGGCATGACGGCCTGAGTTATTAGCTAAATAACTAGTAGTACGCACTAGATATCACCTCGGAGACTACGTACTAAGTCAAGCGTCCGGGATCCAAGTGCGGCCGGTCGGCCCAGCACACGTAGCTCAGCAAAATGCTGAAAATCGCTGCATATATACATGTCATGCTGTGTACACATATGCATCGATCATGCACATGCTACAAGTCCCAGCGACTCCGCGAACTGCCGAGACAACATCTGAATGCTCGTGATGCGTGCCGGTACTGATGCCTGTAAGATCGCTTCGCCGCGAGGGCGATGGGGACCGGTCATCAGATATTTGCAGGGTCTCGATTCGACCTGATTAAAGTGGAGACACACTTTGTGAACATCACCACACACACACACACACACCTATCCCATCGAGCATCCAACAACTCAGTTGCTGGCTTCGTGCTGTAGCTCTGTTCATGGCACCACATGTACCGCTGTCGACCTGATTTAAGGAGGCTATGTGAACACGACCACACACCCATCCCATCGACTATCCAACAACTCAGTGGCTGGCTTCGTGCTGTCGCTCTGTTCATGGCAGCGCAAAAACCGCATTCGCCCACGAACGGCCAGGATGGTTAGCTCACATTGCAGCGCTACAAGCTATATATTGGTTTGGATACGAGGGTTTTGGTTTTAGGGTTATGTAGCTATAGGGTTGTAGGGTTTAGGCTTCGGCTCGTTGGAATAAGGGTGGTAGGGTTGAAGGTTTCGGTAAAATTGGAATGCACACTCTTGACTTAAACCTTGCAGTACTAGTGCATACTGTCCAACCTCGTTGCTGGGGTTGAAGGTTTCGGTCAAACTGGAATGCGCACTCTTCAGAAACCTGGCAGTTTATGCTGTCCAACCAATCGAAACCTGCTTGTTCGCTGATCGATCATGATACTTCAAGAGGCCACTTGACCCACAAGCCTGGCAAGGAAGCGAGATTTAGCGGAATCACAGCCCTTTCGCGTAACGCTTACAAAAAACATGGTCATGGCCAATGATCACAAATTTCGCTGACATTGCGATGTTGGTGAATTTTGCTGACATGGATCCCCAGGGGATTGCAGTGTCAGATTCAACGCAAGTCTTGGACGAAACTCTTTCCACACTTTCCGGGGCTCTCTGAAGATCCACAAACCCGAAACCCTCCGCAAAGCCCAGGGCCTCATGACTCCGATGGCTCTCTTTCCCAGACCGCCGGGAGGATCCAAAAAGTAAATCCCTTAATGGGGGTTCCTATAAAGTACCCGTAGTAGTACAGGGCCCCAAATTGGGGATCTACTTTCTAGATCTTCCCTGGGGTCTGGGCTTCGAAGGTGTCGGTGTACCTCGATGGCTCCAGAGAGGCCGTGAAGATACCCAGCTTTCAGCTCCTCACAGTCAGCTTGCCCGTTTCTACAGTTTGACGCTTGGCGCCTCTTTGAATTCGGTTCAGCCAGTGGCCTAAGCCCCAAGCTTGCCCAAGTCTGCCTCAACCTTGAGTTGAAGTTCGGGTTGCGAAACCTTAAATCCTAAAACCCCTAAACCCCTAAACCTCAAACCCCTAAGCTCTTAAACCCTAAACACCTTAAACCCCTAAACCCTAAACCCCTGAACCCATCAACCCTAAACCCGAACCCCTATTGCAAACCCCGAAATCCTAAACCCACGATCTCGGACACAGTTTCGGAGTCAGCTTGCAGGCCCCAGGATGCAAGTCATCGGCAACCTTGGGCGTGAGGGGGAGGGGGCGAGTTAAGGGAATATATTATAGGTGCCTTAATAATTACCTATACTATTTTAGGGGTTCCTTATTATAGTTAGAGTATAATGGGACCCAAACCCGATTCTTCTGTATTAGGGTGATGAAGGCCCCTCTTGTGACAGCTGCTGTGAGAACCGGGCTACACCTGAAAGGTCCTAAAGCCGCAACTCCCAAATCCGCAAAATCCTACTTCCGCGGTATTCTGAGAAAGCATTCTACAGTATGTGATACTTTGGTACTGGTATTGGAGTATGTTCCGTTTTTTTTTGTTCCTGGTTCCTATCGAACTCCTCGATCCTTTGCGCAGTGCACAGCAATCCAGAAACCCTATAAACCATAAGCCTTAACCCCGAAACCCCAAACCCGGCAATCCAGGATCCGAGCTGCTCGCGGGACATAGAATATGTCAGCCGCAAAGCATCAATTCGCTGCAAGCGACACGTAGCTTCTGTCGAAACCGATAGTTGGGTATAGCGTTCAGGAATATCTGTGATGTTGAGGTTAGCTGTTCGTCGGCTTTTGATCTTGGGTTTGGGGATTCCGTCATTTTGAACTCCCACCAGACTTCAAGCTTTCAGAGCTTCTGGGCCAGGGTTCGGAATAGAATCTGCGGCTCGCTTACCATGGGGTCTCGCATGTATGTATGCATGTACGCATATGTATACGTGCATATATTCTTATATATGCTATTATGTGCATGTGTATATATATATATATATACATAAACGTGTATCTACCAGAAAGCACTCGCTGTGCTGAAAAGTGCTGAAAGGCACGTGTGAAGCAACGTAACTCCCGGAAGCACACGATGGAACCAACATATCGGGATTTTCGTTTGCATCTCTAGGCACTCACAGAACAGACACGAAGCAGACATGATCAGACTCATGAATTCACTAAGATCCTGCTTTTGTCAGCTCCTTGTCATCGCTGCTGGTGTTGTTCTTGTTGTTGTTGCTGTTGTGAGTGTGGGTGTGGTCGTGGTTGTTTTTTTAGTAGTAGTAGTAGTAGTAGTAGTAGTAGTAGTAGTAGCAGTAGCAGTAGCAGTAGCAGTAGCAGTAGCAGTAGCAGTAATTAGTAGTAGCACTAGTAGTAGCACTAGTAGTACTAGTAGTAGTAGCAGTAGTAGTAGTTGTTGTTGTTGGTGGTGGTGGTGTTGCTGCTGTTGTTGTTGGTGGCGGTGGTGGTGGAATGCATTTCCGACGTCGTCAGAAGCTTTGGCGCGTC